GTAATTTTAATTTCAAAGTAAAATATCCCACACTCCAAAGGAATTGGATTATTTGCTCGAATTATAATAGCTTTATTATCATCAGGATCTTTAAAATTTTTTAATAAATTAGTTGAACTATCAACAATTAACGCTCATCAATTCGGAATTTTAATGTTTCGATTATTCATCTTACCTGTATAACTCACTTTAGATCCACTTGAATCTATGTTAATAAATGGCGATTTATTTTCAATCTCCCAAGCATTCGGTAAAACAATATCATCGTATGGTGTTGGCAATTCTAAATCTTTCATTTAATTGGTGATTTTGTACGTACGTACATGAGCATAGCAGGCTTTAATTCCGATTAATCAATTATTGAAATGTATCATTATTCTTACCTGGTTCAGTTTTTAAGTGAAATTCTTGGCCTATTTTGTTCAAATAATTCATTTTTTCAAATAAATTAGTTGTATCAGAATTTTGGAGGATAAACCATTGGATTGAATATATTGATGTATTAATTGGGTTATTTTCATCATAATTAAAATTTTCATATCCAAAAACATCAATTGCTATATCATTACTGTCAACAGATGTTTTTGATTTAATGTTAGAACATTTTTTACTATCTTCATTATTTGCAGAATTCTTGTTGATAAATTCTTGATTATAAGATTCTGTATGTTTATTCATTTCAGTATCAATTGAGTTTTCAACATTTTCTTCACTATAACCTTCAATATTTTTTTTTTCAACATTTTCTTCAATATTTTCTTTGCTGTAATCTTCAATATTTCCTTCGATGTAATCTTCAACATTTCCTTCGATGTAATCTTCATTATATTCTTCACTATCAGAAGATTCATAATTAGGACAGTATAATCTAAGTAAAATTTTATTATTTTGATAACTTCGTATTTCAGCTACGAAATTTGGTTCGTAATTCGAAGGTGGATATTTATATGAAATCACAATAACTGAATCTCGTGGCAAATTTTCCGGAACTTTTAATACAACGTAATTATATGGCTTTAATTCAAATGGTTCACTACCCGAACCTAAGACATTTATTTTTCGCGTAATCGTGCTAAAATATCCAATTTCGGCAGGTATTCCAATTAATATCCAAGAAATTTTTGAATTCTTATTTATAAGCTTACTAAAAATAAAATAAAAAAATCAGTACATTATTTTTTAATTTGAAAATTATTTATAAAAAACAAAAAACTCACTAATTTTCTATAAAAATTAAGAATCCTTGTGTATCCATAAAATCAAACTTGATAATAATATCATCAATTGGTTCATCATCTTGTATTAGCTTTCCGAAAACTTGATAATTATTGGATTTAAAACGAACAGGAAAATTTATGCTGTACGAATAGGGAGGATCTTTAATGGGTACTATTCCTGCCATTAAAACTCTTTCTTTAACAGTTTTACTATTAATAGGGTTGGTTTTGTTATTAATTTTTGGAATAGATTCAAATTTTCTACTAATCCCAAGAATATTTTCAATTTCTTGGCGAAGAGATAAGTCAAAAATTTCATATAATGGGTATAATTTTTTGCAGCTAATAACTTGTAATGAGTCAAGGTCACTCTTTAAACAAAATTCAATCCAATCTTTTAGTTTATCTTTCATAATAAATTCGCCATTAATCGATACAAGGTATGATAAATCGAAATTATAAGAACTCATAAATTTTTCCCATCGACCCAAAACATCTTCAAATTCAGTCACTGGAAAGTCATCAAGAGTCGTCCATTTTACATTATTTTTATCATTATATTCTAATGAATTGTTACCTACAGATAAATAAGTCATTCTATATATTTTATGACCAAGAATTATTTTTCTTGGTAAGAAATGGCCATAACTATTAAATACATCCATTAATTTATGATAAGGATCATAGTGTTTTAGAGCTTCTTTTACTTTACAGGTAAGTTCATCAGACGGCTTTATTGATTCTTTTTTAATAATCAATTCAACTTTTGTGCATTGTATTATTAGAAAAATATCATTTGTAGGAGTTTCGTCGGTTAAAAGTGCTACGTCATCAGTATCAAATATCTGGCTATGTTCTAAATCATCAATAGAAAGTTCAACGTGATTTTTCAACAAAAATGATTCTTTTTTTGTTGTAGAATTCACCAATCTTGCATGAAAAGATGTGTTTATTATAGGATCATTTTTGTGTTGTGGTTGAAGCTCATAAGCTATAAAATCCGAAAGTTGTATTCTTTCTGCATTGATAATTAACCCGCGATTAAAGCTTAAGGGACTTGCATTATCCATGACTTCAATTTTGATATTAATTATTGTTGGGGAAAATGCCGAAATTTTATTTTAATAAGAAATTTACATATACATATATATTGTGTTTATAATAAAAGAATGAGCATCGGTATACAATAGCGATAAAATAGATTAAATCAATTTTTTAGATAATGATTATGTAATGCAGTGTTACGTTAAACATACGAGGTTAAACATATGCCTTTGCACCAAAAGGATAGATTAAATATAGCGTCGTACGTATGTTTTGGGTTTGTATCACTCGTAGAAATAGAAATAAGTTTACACATACTTACGTACTGCACGTACGTAATTTTTACTTGTTTTTTTAAAAGCCAAGAGTAAACAGAAAAAATATACATATACGTACATATACGTATATTAATTGATAACTATAAATGAAAACGAAAATTAAAAATAAAAGCAGCAGAAATGAACGTAGACATAGATGACAAAAATGTCATGATTGATATTATAATAGTCGTCAAATCATTTAAAAATTCAAATTTAAGGGAATATTTTAAACGGTTATCCCGAGATAATAGGCTTGTAGTGTTATAAGCCGATATGCAGCTAGTCAACTAAGTCGACTTAGTCGACCCCTGATCGACTAAGCCGGTTGGCCGACTTGGTTATAATATTATTGGCCAAGTTTAGTTATTGTTTCTTTTTATAGGT